GAGGTCCGGCACGCTTCCCCATCGCGGGCCTCTACATTCCAAAATCCGATACTTCTGAGCATAGCAGAGTTGAGATCAACAGCGGCTAGAGGAAGCTGCAAAAAAAAAAACTCCAGTGCATTCTTCAGTGTGCTTAAATAAAGTCCACACAGGATCTTAGCAGCTAAAAGCAGTTTTTATTTACAGCAGACTATCCATTATCTATCACAGCGAACAGCATTGCGAAAACACGTCCTCTCTCCTCAAAAGCGAAAGTAGAGAGACAGAACAAAGACTTGAGTCTCTCGGAACTGACGTAGAAGTTCCCCCCTCCCACTAGTAGGCAGAGCGTACACTCTGAGCTGTTTAACCCTGTAAGCTCAGGTTCTCCTCACATTAAACAGGACGTTGGATTTTCTGGGCTCTGGGATTCTTTCACCCAGTGGCTTACCGCTTGGTTGCCAAACCTGAATTGGCTTCGTGGTCTTTTTCAATATGCTATTGTCATTATATGTATATTAACTTTGCTATGCTGCTTTCTTCAATGCGTTCCTAGCCTCATAAGTCTTTTCTCTCGGCTTCTCTCTCCCCCTCAGCCACCCAATAAACTCCTTGCTGCCTACTTTGCGAAATGGCAACACCAACAGTAAACCAAAGGGGAGATGTTGGCAGACTTATTTTGGGCATGCGCTGGCAAACCACGTATCCCGAAATATTTTTGTCCCATCGACCCTGGCGAACTTATTTTGGGCATTCGCTGGCACACCACTAATCCCGAAGTATTTTTGCCTTATTTACCCAGAACGCCTCGCAAACAAGAAAAGAAAGGGGGAGATAAAGGGAAGTTTTCTTTCTGCAGTTCTCTTACTGCACATAACTGTGGCATTAAGTCTTGCTATGAGAACTATTGCTTTTTTTCTCTTGCATGCTGGGAAGTTTTTGCCCCTGCACATGAATCTGAGAATGTTCTGAACAGTTCCCATTGAGTTCATGAAACAGTGCACCCTGACCTGTTCTTAATGCATTGCTGACCACATCTACGGAACGTGATTGTTGTATTCTTTCATGTTATGTTCTCTCAATATTAATCTTTAGTTATAATTTAATTAGGAGGTTTCATGCCTGTCTAGTTCCAGCTCCGTTTCTCAGCCTTTGATCCATCAGTGATAAATGGTTATATGTAATTCCCGCCTTGTACCTATGTTAACCAATCAGCAACAAGTTGCTTTGTGTTTGTATCAACCAATCAGCCACAAGCACACCTGTGGCAATGTTTGTAATATTCAATAAAAGAGAGTTCCCGGGGCTCGCCCCGGAGAGACGCCTCTCATATGACACCTACCACTCGTCTGTCGTGATTTCAACCCAACAGGAAAACACGTGGGTTCCCGCGGAGGCGATCAATGACGGGTATCTTGTGGAGGAATTCCACAGCCTGTTCCCGGACAAACCCAAGCCACTAGCGAGATTCTGGGAGGAGCAATTTGGAACCACAGACGATGAAGAGGATTTTGTGGGTTTTTCTGCCTCCGAAGAGGAGGGAGAAGAGGCTTCGGAGGAAGAAGAATCAGACTGGGGGGGCCCACCCCGCGGGGAGAGATCGGAGCGGGTGGGAAGCGGGTTTTGAATCCCCAGAGGATGGCGACAGCTCCTTCCGGGGATTCCCCGCATCGTCGGCCGAGGAAAGGGACGAAGTTGGGTCAAAAGGTCGGGCCGGGGGTGAAGGGGGTCCTGGGGGGGAGGTGGATGTCAGGTAACTGACATCGGAGCCAGAGGCGGAGGCTAAGCTCTCAAGCGATGCTGGAGAAGGGCCCAGCAGGGGGAGAGGCGGCTCACCAGCTGGGGAAAGAAATCAGCGTAACACCAGGGATAAAGGGGGGCAGATGGGGGAATCGGCGAAGGGGCTCCAGGTCTCCTCGCCGGAGATCAGCGAGGAGAGCACGGGTCCTCCGCTACCCACGCCCTCCCTGCGCAGAAGACTTCCGCGCAGGGAGAGTAGGAGGAGACTTGGAGTCAAACAACTTTTATGCTGGAAAAGGTTTAAGAAACGCCCACTGACGGATTCTGCTAGTGACTGAACAGCCACGAAGTGCAGGGCTGTCCAGACAGAAAAGGTTTAACAAGGCAACCTAGCCAGGAGTGGCACCAACTTGCGCACGAGCAACCCCTACATTTATTACATTATCTGTGCATATCCCCAACTCTGCATATTCCCCCCTCCCTCCTCCATATGTTTATCCTGTGTAACCCAACCCTTTCTTAATGTATTCATGATGTAACCATGATGTATTGATGATGCTTCTGCACTGTATCATGGGAAATGGAGGGAAGTTTTAAAAGTTCATGTCACCCCATCCTCGGGGTTCAATCTCGCCTTGAACCTGTTGCGCAATAAACATGGATCTTCTGCATCTTCTAAGCTGAGCTGAGCTGAGCTGGTAGTGTTGATGTGTATAGTTGGTCAGTTGCTTTTGCACAAAGACTTTTAAGAATAAAACTCTGCAAGGATACTTTTCTCGTGGACTCTTTTATGCCGACAAGGGTCCGAGGACCAGGCTGAGGCGACAAAGGGAGGTCAGAACCCTTTCTTTTTTTTTACAGACACTGACAGGAGCTTCTCACTTGGCAGCAGATGCATATTTTCTACTTAATGTATATCTCACATTTACTTCTTGCATATGCCCTACTGTTTCATTGAAATTTGCTTCCGAGGAAGCATAGACTGCAACTTTTAAAAAATAAAGGTAAAGGACCCCTGACAGTTAAGTCCAGTTGTGAACGACTCTGGGGTTGCGGTGCTCATCTCGCTTTACTGGCCAAGGGAGCTGACGTTTGTCCGCAGGCAGTTTTTCCGGGTCATGTGGCCAGCATGACTAAGCTGCTTCTTGCGAAACCAGAGCAGCGCACGGAAATGCCATTTACCTTCCTGGCCTTACCTTCCTGAATTCTCTGCTGGATGGGAATGTGCCTGAAGCCTCATCAAAGGCTCAGGTCGTTATTATCGTCAGGAGGCGATTCCGAAGGCTCGGCTGGAGGAGGATGAGCTTTATCAGCTTGGCCGAGCGGAGATCCTGACACGCTGGAGCGGTACCTATTTATCTACTTGCACTTTGACGTGCTTTCAAACTGCTAGGCTAAATGCAAAATAGATTCTAAATGAGAAACCACACAGATTCCAGAACAAACTTTGTTTCTGAAACTTCTTTTTTTTTAATAAATATTTTTTATTAGATTTTCCTTAAAAAAAACATTTTTACAAAATTATACATCCATTTTTAACTTAAACCCTTTTTTCCAGAACTTCCCTCAGCTTGTCTGATAATTTTCCGTTTATTTTTTATCCTCGTCTCACATTTCCCAATATTATATTGCACTCAAATACTCTTAATCACATCATATTTTTTAAACAATATTTCTAACAGTAATTTCACAGAGCTTCTTGAAAGCCAACGAACGTTATTTGCTCATCACAGAAATTTTTGATATACTCTGTAAATTTCTTCCAGTCCTCGGAGAATCTCTGGTCACGTTGGTTCCTAATTCTCCCCGTCAATCTGTCCATTTCTGCGTATTCCATCAGTTTCATCCTCCATTCTTCTTTCGTGGGCATCTCTTCCTGTTTCCATTTCTGCACCAGCAAAATTCTGGCTGCTGTTACTGCATACAAAACTAATTTCACATCTTTTTTACTAATTTCATTATCCAGTATTCCCAACAAGAAAGCTTCTGGTTTTTTAACAAAAGTATATTTCAGCATTTTCTTTAACTCATTATAGATCATCTCCCAGAAGCTTTTACCTTCTTACATTCCCACCACATATGGTAAAATGTTCCTTCTGTCTCCTTACACTTCCAACATTTATTACACACTTTATACATTTTACCCAGCTTTACTGGTGTTATATACCATCTATATAACATCTTCATAACATTTTCCTTAATCGTTGTACAAGCTGTAAACTTTAACCCATCCTTCCATAATTTAGTCCATTTCTCAAATTCAATATTATATCCGAAATCTCTAGCCCAACTAATCATAACAGATTTTGTTTCTGAAACTTCAGAGTGAAGTGCTGGCTAGGTTACACTTTTAAGAAAACGAAGATGCGAGACCTATTCTAACAAATAAGATTAAACAGGTACCTTAGTGCATTACATTTACATATCATTGGGTGCTATCACAACTGAGCAGAAAGAGTGAATGAAAGTCAGCCTTATTCTCAAAGCACTCGTTCAGGATTCTCTTTAACACAGGAAGTGTAGAGATTTGTATTCCAAAGGATGACAAGGAAAGGCTGAAAGGTAACTTCAGCATAGTGGTAGATTTAAAATTGGTTAGAGTTAAATGGGAAAGAAAAGGAGGGGGAGGGGTGGTGAAACGTATTATTTTATACAGTGTGCATGTGGAGTTTTTTGTCAGCATCAACTGGGTAGGTTCACTTTCTATTCGCTCATTACATTTCCTTGGTAGTGAGAGGGACTGGGGGTGCATTTCTTAATTTTGAAGGACAGGGACTAGCTTTCTGTGGAGTGTGGTCCATAATGTGTGTATAAAATTATTATAACAATGTCACAATATATTTTATCAGTGCACACTAAGGTACTTTATATGGCGTAAATTTTATTTTTTATAGACACGCAGTAATATGTACAGGATTTATATAAACAGACAAAGCTAAAATATACTATACATGCACTAATATGGGATACCCCACCACGCACATAATGCGCGCTCTCTCTCTCTCTTTTAATATATATATATATATATATATATATATATATATATATATATATATATATATATATGAGGGAGGTTCTCATCCCGTGCTCAGCCGTGCCCATTCGTCGGACGGGAGTGAGAGAGAATTCCCGCGAGCGCGATGTGCGTCATCGGCCGCCGCCGGCGGACACGTGATGCGGCGTCTCGGTCGCGCCGGGCGGCCCTCGGGCGGCTATCAATGACGCGTCGCCGCGGCTAGCACGTTGATTGGCGGGACGGGCCGCGGCTTCAGGTTGGAGGGGGAGGGGGGAGGAGTTGGTGGCGGCGGCAGAAGAGAGGGGCAGCATCAGCGGTGGCGGCGCGCGCTGCCCCGCCCCCCGCTTCCCATCCTCCTGCGCGAGGCGGCGGCGCGTGGCATCGGGGTCTCCCTCCGGCCTGCGCCTCTTCCTCCTCCTCCTCCCGCTTTCCCCTTTTCCACCTCCTCTCCGCTCCCTGCCAGGCCAAGGCCATGACCGACTTCAAGTTGGGCATCGTGCGGCTCGGCCGGGTGGCCGGCAAGGTGCGCGTGGGGCTCCGTGGGGCGGCGCGGAGTGGGAGAAATAGGATTTGCGCGTCTGTATGCGGTGTGCGTGTGTTTCCGTGCCCGCGCGTGTTCTATGTTGGGAGATCCGCGCCCCTTCTATCACATCACCGTCCCCTCACGCGTCTGACCTGCTCCGTTACGTCACACAGGACCCCTCTGTGACGTCACTGGGTTCATTGGGGTTCCATGATCTTATTATTATTATTATTATTATTATTATTATTATTATTTATTTTTAAAGGTAGAAGGATGCGGGAGGCTGGTTTTCGTTTAGGTCCCTTTTCTGTTTTACTCTCTCGTTGCATCTCTCCCTGTAGAGGGGTAATAAGCTGTTCTGTGGAGCACTTCCCGTTGGTGGACCTCAAATGGGGAGATTGATTTCTTTTTATATCCTTCGTATTCAGGCTATAAAGGGGTCCATAGCTCACCTGCAGTTTCAAAGGGTTACATAGCAAGTGATCTGAGAGGCTTCTTTCTGCTTTGGAGTGTGCCTACTGGTTAGACTAGGTGATACTGACGGATTTGTAGTCTGACCTGATCCTAAGTAGCTTCCTATTTTCTTGTGCAGATTTGATACGTTTCTCTTTATACATACTTACTGTAACTTTCTTTTGTTGTTGTGCTTTTCTGTTTTTGTTTTTTGGAATAATCAACATGGACCACAAAGGATGTGTACCAATACTTGGTGCAGTGTCTTGCTTTACAGGTTGTTTGGGTTAAGTTTTGTATGTTAATCTGTTATAGCAAAAACTGAAACACAAAACTGCTCTTTAAAGACTAACTGATTTGTGTGGTATAATTATATTGGGCCAGAGCTGCCCCTCTCAGTTGCAGATTTTGGTCTCTGAGCAAGAACTTACATTTTACAGTTCTTTCTTCCTCTCCTCTCCTACTTCCAAAGGCAAGAGAAAGGCAGTACACCCCTTTCTGGCATTTGGACTTCCTAGAAGGCTTGTGGACACAATGGTAGGTAGAGATCCCAGAATGCTCAAGGCTAACCCTGGAGCAGCTTTCCCCTGGTTTAGACAAGTGTGTGACGTATGCGCAGTCAGATGAATGACCTATTTAAGGTGTAAAACTGCTCTTTTCAGTGTAAGATGTGCCCTGGAATAGCTTAAAGTGTTGTTGTGCTGAAATGAACGAAGAGTGCCTTGCTAGGGATTGGAAAAGTATCCACAACATAAAGTATTTAATTATCCTTCCTTTTTTATTCTAGACAAAGTACACACTGATTGATGAGCAAGACATTCCACTTGTGGAGAGTTACTCTTTTGAGGTAAGAACCATGTTATCTACCTTATTTCCGCATTCCAAGTGTTGAATTCAAACTCCCATCAGGTCCAGTCAGCATATCCAATGGTCGGAAGAGCATTGGGAGGACCACATGTCAGCTATTATTCCTCTTGATCAGGGATGGGGAACCTGTGGCTCTCCATATGAACCCTGACCTGACATGGTCAGTAATTAGGGTAGATCAAAAACAGGAAGGGTTGACTGTCTAAGGAACCTGCTTTAAGCAAACTCATGAAAGCCAGTGGTCTCATATACAGTAATGACTATCTGAATAAGTTGGCAGAGAGAGAAGAGGAGGCATTTTCCCTTGAAACAGCATGTGGGTCATAAAAGGACTTGGCCCGATCCAGACATCTGTGTTTGGACTTGAGGACTTGTATGAAAAGTACCAAGTTCTCCAAAGACTCAAACTGTTCTCTGAAGTAGGATAACTAGGCAAGTTCTCCTTCACTTGCAGAATCAGGAGTAGCTTTACTTTAGAATGCATTTTCTTTTACAGGTGAAACTCAAAAAATTAGAATATCATGGAAAAGTTCATTTATTTCAGTAATTCAACTTAAAAGGTGAAACTAATATATGAGATTGACTCATGACAAGCAAAGCAAGATATGTCAAGCCTTTATTTTTTATAATCATGATGATACAGCTGATGAAAACCCCAAATTAACAATCTCAGAAAATTAGAATATTGTGAAAAGGTGCAGTAGCTATTCAATCCATAACATCTGCAATGGGTCCCTGAGCCTTTAAATGGTCTCTCAGTCTGGTTCAGTAGGAAGCACAATCATGGGGAAGTCTGCTGATGTTCTTTGGGATGTTCCCAAAGTGCTGTATCGAAGCACATTAATGGAAAGTTATGCGGAAGGGGAAAGTGTGGAAGAAAAAGGTGCACAAGCAGCAGGGGTGACCGCAGCCTGGAGAGGATTGTCAGGAAAAGACCATTCAAACGTGTTGGGGACTTTCACAAGGAGTGGACTGAGGCTGGAGTTAGTGCATCAAGAGCCACCACGCACAGACGGATCCTGAAGATGGGCTTCAAATGTCGTATTCCTCTTGTCAAGCCGCTCCTGAACAAGAAACAACGTCAGAAGCTTCTTACCTGGGCTAAAAAAAAAAAGAACTGGTCTGTTGCTCACTGGTCCCAAGTCCTCTTTTCTGATGAGAGCAACTTTTGCATCTCATTTGGAAACCAAGGACCCAGAGTCTGGAGGAAGAATGGGGTGGCACACAATGCCAGATGCTTGAAGTCCAGTGTGAAGTGTTGATTTGGGGAGCCATGCCATCAGCTGGTGTTGGTCCACTGTGCTTCATTAAGTCCAGGGTCAACGCAGCCATCTACCAGGAGATTTTGGAGCACTTCATGCTTCCTTCTGCAGACGAGCTTTATGGGGATGCTGACTTCATTTTCCAGCAGGACTTGGCACCTGCCCACACTGCCAAAAGTACCAAAACCTGGTTCAATGCCCATGGGATTACTGTGCTTGATTGGCCAGCAAACTCGCCTGACCTGAACCCCATAGAGAATCTATGGGACATTGCCAAGAGAAAGATGAGAGACATGAGACCGAGCAATGCAGAAGAGCTGAAGGCTGCTATTGAAGCATCCTGGTCTTCCATAACACCTCAGCAGTGCCACAGGCTGATAGCATCCATGCCACGCCGCATTGAGGCAGTAATTGATGCAAAAGGGGCCCAAACCAAGTACTGAGTGCTTCTACTTCTCAGACGTCCAATGTTGCTCTATTTGCAATCCTTGTTTTGCTGATTTCATTTACTATTCTAATTTACGAGATTGTTAATTTGGGGTTTTCATCAGCTGTACGCCATAATGTCACAATTATAACAAATGAAGGCTTGACATATCTTGCTTTGCATGTCATGAGTTTATCTCATATATTAGTTTCACCTTTTAAGTTGAATTACTGAAATTATCATGGAAAAGTTATTCTAATTTTTCGAGTTTCACCTGTATATAGGCTTCATGTATTTTTAGACTGGAGTTTGGGGAGCTTCATAGAAAATGTATTGCTCTTGGAAAAGGGGCAGATTTGAAATACACTGACATTACACTTTCACCCATTCATTTACCTGATATCAACAGGTTCTGCACAGGCTTTTGAGGTGTCTGGGGGAAAATTAGAGACTCATCATGGTTTATATATATCCTCAGGCTCACTGAACAAGAAGGCTCTGATCTTATATAGAGTCTGTTAACTCAAGCACATAAACTGGGTTCCTGAGGCAGAGTTTGCATCTCATCTGACATTTCCCATGTCCATTATTGACCCACTTTCTCTTGTCTGATATAGACCTGACTGATTTTGAACTTTAGAGGCTCTACTCAGAGTGCCTCTGCCTTCAGATGTTAGGAGAGTGTTGACTGGGAACAGAGTCCCTCGTCTGGCGGCACCCTTTTCCTGAAACATTTTCCCTAGTCATAATATGCATAGCACCATCATTTAATATCTTTTATGTGACAAGAGAAAACTTTTATTAACCCAAGTGTTTAATATTTTGCTATTTCTTTTTTTATTAACATTTCTGTTACTTGGTTTGCAGTTTTCTGTTTTAATGACCATTACGTTTCTGTCTATTAATAGTTTTACTTACATTTTACTTTGTTTCGTATTTGAAGCTGCTATGATGTTTAGATGAGCGTACAAATATTTTAAAGAAAATGCATGAAGAGATGTGTTCTCTGTCTTTGGCCAGGCTCGGATGGAGGTCGACGCAGATGGAAATGGTGCTAGAATATTTGCCTTTGCATTTGACAAAAACCGAGGAAGAGGGTTCGGACGCCTGCTGCATGAGTTACTGTGGTAGGTATCATTGTGCAGGGGGTAACATAGCTGCAGGTTTCCAGACTGCTGAGGCATGTGTATGTATAGTCTTTGGAGATGAGCACTATAATGGCAACTCTCACGTGTCAGGGTAAGCCATAAGCCGTGGTTTGCTGTGCATGAGCAGATAGCGTCTGTATTACCTCTCCCCTTTCATGGTGGGAAGAAACAAACCACAATCCCTGGCTTAGCATTGTGTCCAAACCAAGGGGTTGTGGTTTGATTTTCTCCTGACAACCCACAGTGTATAGCCAATGTTTGTTTTTAGCTTTCTTCTGATTGTGATTTGTTGGAGGTGAAACAAACCATAGTCCCTACTTTGGACACATCTTCTAAGCTCAAGGGATCATGGTTTGTTTTCTTCTAGTATGAGCAGAGGGGAGACAAATACATTCACAGTAAATCATTAGCTAAGGTTTACTGTGATGTACAAACTGAGCCTCCATGTAAAAGGAAAGTGGCCTGTGTTGTGTGTTAAAGTATCTTTTCCCCCTCCCTTTTTCTCTTTATAATTTGAACATACAAAACTGCCATATATTTAGAAGGAGGTTGATCCATCTAGCTCTGTACTGTCTATGCTGACTGACAGCAGCAGCAGCTTTCCTGGGTTTCAGGCAGGGGACATTCCTAGTTCTACTTGGAAATCTTGGAGGTTGAACATGGGACCTTCTGCATGCAAAATGTGCCAACCCATCCAAGTGCCACAGGGCTACCCACAACTTGAAGCCAGGGTTCCTACATCCAGAGACTCTACTGCTGAGCTATGATCCTTTCCCTTTAACAGCTTGGGTGACTTAAAAGAAAAAAGAATTTTTCCTGCTACCTAGAAGATGCCAGGTGTATTTCTAAGGCATTTCCCCTGATCACCACCCAATTTATCTCTTAACTGCAGGGATGCCTGCAGAAGGTCATCAGCAGAAGATCTTAAGAACTGGACAGGGGGGTGGGTGTCCTTTATGCCTTGGGTCCTAAGCCGTGTAAGGTTTAAAATTTTCAGACCCAGCACCTTGAAGTCAAAGTAAGCTTGTTAAGCTCTTTTGCATCCATTGAGATGTGTTGTCTCCAATGACCTGCCCCGGTTAGAACCCTGATAGTAGCTCTTTGAGCATGTTGGAGTTTCCATACTGCCTTCAAGGGCAGCCCATGATGTATTATAGAAGTCCAAGCAACTAGAAGCATCAGAATTCTTCCTTTCAGGAATTGCAGGTGGCTCGTCTTCTCTTTCAGGGAGAGGCATCGGGGGGGCATCGCCCCTGGCTTTCAAGTCGTGCATTTGAATGCAGTGACAGTGGACAATCGTCTAGACAACCTGCGATTGGTTCCATGGGGATGGAGGCCCAAAGCTGAAGAAATCTCTAGTAAACAAAGGTAAACTCTCAGTAACAGTGTCACAGGCAAGAGGGACAAAAGGGGCTGGAAGTCAAACAACTCCAGAACGTGTTTCTTTGCATAGCCCCTTGATGATTTTTTATGTGTGTTTCTTTGCATCTGAAGAAACTGTGGTGCTAAGTTCTCTCTGGCCTGGCCCTAGATGGGAGGATATGTCTCCCACCCTAGGTTATTTATTCCACTCAAACAGCAACAATTCTCAATAGTTCCATTGAATGAGGAATCAGTTGTTAAACTACTCTGGTAATTGTATGTCTGCTAGCGAGAACAGGGGCCTTATAACAACTTTCAGCACCCTTAACAAGCTAAAGTTTCCATAATTCTTTAAGGGAAGACATAACCGTTTAAGGCTGTATCAGAGTCCTTTAAAGGTATGTTGTGATTGTGGCTACTGTCAACTCTCTGCTTTGAGAGGGATGGAGTTTTAACATGTTGCAATTGTGCAGCACAAGCTTGCTGCGGAAATGTTTAATTTGCTGTTTTTTCTTGAAGGGAACAAAGCTTATACTGGCTGGCGATCCAGCAGCTTCCCACAGACCCCATAGAGGAACAGTTTCCGGTGCTGAATGTGACGCGCTATTATAACGCTAATGGGGATGTTGTGGAAGAAGAGGAGAGTTCGTGCACATACTATGAATGTCACTACCCTCCCTGCACAGTGATTGAGAAACAGGTGCGTTCAAAACCAGAAGCAAGTCATGGATAAGACCGTCCCTGTTCTAGGCTGGCTGCTGCAAGTTCACCCTCTTCAGTGTGGTTGCTTCTTTTTAAAAAACCAAAAAGTCCTTAGGCACAGCTAGTGTGTTCTTTGTACCCCCTGCAAGGAATTTCTCTGCACCGTTTTTAGCCTAAATAGTTATCCTGGCCAGCGGCTTCCAAGCTTCAGACACATCTCTCTCTCAGTGGTGTTCTGTGAAGTACAACTGACTGTGCTACCATTCTATTTGGATAACCCTTCATCCTACCTCTCGGTGTGGAAAAGTCAGTGTTGCGCATAGGCCCAACCCCCCTTTTCCTAGCCCACTTTTTCTTAGAACAGGGTCATGGGGAAACAAGATCAAAATGAACAGCTCTGGTTTTAAACCTCACTGAAGTAACTTTGTTGTATAGAAGGATGGATAGAAGTCACCCGAAAAGATAACCTGTACAAAGGGAATCTGTTCCTCTGATGACAGTTTTGGATGCTTTGTGGAGGAAAATATGTAAATAGGTCTGTGGATATAGAAGCGTTCTCGAACTTAGCAGGAGAGCATCGGTTTTGAGTCCTAGGTTCAGTCTCTTGCTAGAGCTGTGAAAGACCACTGCTCGAAACTTTGGAGCACTGCTTCTGTGCAACATAGGCAGTACACTGAACTGGGCCATACTAGTCTGATTTGGTGTAAGGTAGTGTTCTGTGTTCCAAAGCCATAGTTATAAACCCAGGGGTGGGGAACTGCAGCTTGAAACTCCCTCAGCCCCATTCAACCTGGCCAATGCAGGAGGTGGGGGTGGCGAGCGACAAAGCTCCCTATCCTTGTTGTAGACCATGAGGGAAAGAAATTGAGAGTGCAGTCCTGTACCTGTTTACTCAGTCCCATTGAATTCAGAATGTGTAAGATTGGGTGGGGGTGCAGAAGAAGAAGAAGACACTCATAATGAGACCTTCAGGTTCATAAACAAGAGAAATGCACCAGTGGGGGCTGGATAATATTTTATCCACAATGAAAATCAAGGCAGCATTTTGTAGGGTTCCCAGGCTGTTCTACTCAGATCCTGACCAGGCCTGCTTTAGTTCCTACAAAGATTGCACTGGGACTGGCCACCTTAGGACCCTTTTGGTTGGCTTTTTTTTGGGGGGGGGGGGGTTCTTTCTCTAGGGGCCCTGAAAAGGGATACTGATTTTTGTCCCGTACTCCTCTCTCCAGTTACGTGAATTTAACATCTGTGGGCGGTGCCAGGTCGCACGGTACTGCGGCTCGCAGTGCCAGCAGAAAGACTGGCCGGCCCACAAGAAGCACTGTCGGGAGAAGAAGCGAGTCTTTCAGCAAGAGCTTGGACCAGAACGATGACCAGCTGGCTGAGGCCTTAGCCCCACAGGGCACCTTCCCAGAAGGTTAAGGAGTTGCCCACTTTGCACGGACTGCTCACTTGAAGCCAGAGGCACTGACAAAAAGGAGAGAGAGAGAGAGAGAGAGAGAGAGAGAGAGGGGAGAGAGATTTTTATATATATATATAAAAAGACAAACCAATCCCTGTGATGCTTGAGGAAAGGTACTGACTCTTCCCTTCCAGTGTTAAAGAAAGAAAACGTCTGAAGAAAAAAGAAAAAAAAGACTACTGGGGAAGCTCTCCTGCTTGGAAGCTTTCTGTTATTTATATGTTAATATGTTTGTAAAGTTATGTACAGAGGTTTTGTTTTGTTTTGTTTTTTTGTTAGAATGTCTCTTACATAGGACTCATTTACTGTAATGTTCAAGTGAGAACACATTGGTGGTTGAAATAACTGTCCAGTAGCAAAAAGAGAAACAAACAAAAAAAGCTTTTCCTCCCCCTGTGGCTAGGAGAAGGCCTGGGGAGCTAGCTCAGAACATCAGCAGTTAAATCTGAACAACTCTGCATGGAAAGTTGTGTTTGCAAGTAAAGGATTGGAATGGATTGGCTGCCTTTTTTGCTCTTTTAAAAACTTGAGCAGCTGTGAATGATTGTCCACCACCATCAACAGCATGTTGCTGGTCTGTCCCCCCCACCCCCATGAGTGACACTTTCCTCTGAAGATTGCAAAAGCCGCTGAGCTGCTTAGCTGCTTCCCATCACTGTTCTTCCCCATCTGTTTGTAGAGGCAATCATGCCCCCCCCCCCCCCAATCCTGGTTATCATAGTTCCTAATGATATTTCCACCACTCCACAAGGAACCATGGGCAGTAAGGTGAAGGTGCAAGCAGGCTTCCATGAGCAGAGGTTCGGGATTGGTGACTGATGACCCTGTTTCTCATTGAAAGGCGTACAGTCATAGGAAATTCTATATTGGCATGTCACTGTTGAATTTAGGCCAGTACAGCATTATTGTTAGTCCTCCCCTGCCCTTTTGTCCTGCTGTAATCTTTTAAGATGAACAGGGAATAGTTTCTTACTGTAGCATCTATGTGCCAAACCATGACTCTCTGCCGTACTCTTGCATACCTACTTGGTGGCTGCCCCTCCACATCTCTCCTCTGTCCCCCCCACCTACCCAGAGTTTAGGGATAGGGAATCTGCCCTTCCAGATGTAGTTGGACTCATCAGCTTCAATCAGCATAGTTGGGGATGATGGGAGTTGTAGCCCAACAACGTTTGGAAGGCAACAGATTCCTCATTCCTGCCTCTGGAGACCTAAACCTTTCAAAAGTAGTGTAAGACTTTTTTTAAAAGGCAAACTTGCTTTGAGTAGTTTAAGTAGGTAGAATAATAAGTTGTGTATTCTCTGAGACAGGCCAGTGGCCCAGTGAAGGGATGCCACTACATTTCTCAAAGCAAGGTATTTTAAAGTTGCAAAAACTAAGTGACTCTGCACGTATCTATGTGTGGAACTCCATGAGACACTTGACTTAAAACCAGGTGTCTGTGTGACAGGTTCTATTTATGCCCATACCAATATATGGCTCAGAATTGGAGATGGGTGGAAGAATGTAATTGTTTACCACCATCAGCAGTAAGTGGAAACAGACCTGATATTTGACCCTTAGTGTAAGGTGGGCTTGATTTCTTGTGTGCAAACACAGAAGACCCCATCCATGCAAATCATGGGGAGAGCATGGTTCCTGTTGAGACTACCTCTACCCAGCCACAGTGAGCCCATGTGTTGCTGATTGATATCTGGATCCAAGGCAGGTAAGTCCAGGTAGGCCAGTTTCTAAGTCCAGAGTAGGAACCTATCCTTTTCATCTATCTATAGTGTGGGGATCAGTAACTGAAAAGCCTGTCACCAATTCAGTCTCCATGAACAGTACCTTGTGGCCCTCCTAGCAGCAACATGGATGTTAGACGTGGATGCAGTAACAACTAGGAGGGTTTTTGGCATTTCACTGTGGGCTGGGGTGGTGGTGGCATAGACGTGTGACCCACCAATAAAAGTACAGTGGTACCTTGGGTTAAGAACTTAATTCGTTCCGGAGGTCTGTTCTTAACCTGAAACTGTTCTTAACCTGAGGTACCACTTTAGCTAATGGGGCCTCCCGCTGCCGCCGTGGCCCAATTTCTTTTTTTTTTTTTTAATGATTTTTATTAAGATTTCAGTAAAAGATTAAATAGAAAAACATAGAAAAAAAATACACAAACATACAATACATAATCCAAAGAAGAGTAAAAAACACAGAGAACAAAAAAACAAAAAAGAAACAGAACAATTAAAAACAATATCACCTTTTCATTTCCGTTTTTAAATTTACTTATTTTCTGGACCTCCTCATACCTCCCTCTTTTGTATTCCAGTCCAAATTGTTTGTCCAGCAATTTCTTTTCCACTTTTTTAATCCCAATCTTTAATCTTAATATAGCCTTAAAATTTTACCTCTTAAATACCAAATTTCCATTTCCTTCAACTTCTTTAATCCTAATCTTTAATCTTAGTCTATAACTTTAAATCCTGTACAGCTGGAAACCACTTATTTTTAATCCAACATCACTCTAGCATTCTTTAATTTTGCAGTGTTTCTGTAAATAATCTTTGAATTTCTTCCAGTCTTCCTCCACCGACTCTTCTCCCTGGTCACGGATTCTGCCAGTCATTTCCGCCAGTTCCATATAGTCCATCAGTTTCATCTGCCATTCCTCCAGCGTGGGAAGTTCTTGTGTCTTCCAATACTTTGCGATGAGTATTCTTGTGCTGTTGTTGCATACATAAAGAAAGTTCTATCCTTTTTTATCACCGTTTGGCCGACCATGCCCAGGAGAAAGGCCTCTGGTTTCTTAGGGAAGGTATATTTAAATACCTTTTTTAATTCATTATATATCATTTCCCAGAAAGCCTTAATCTTTGGGCACGTCCACCAAAGGTGAAAAAATGTACCTTCAGTTTCTTTACATTTCCAACATTTATTATCGGGCAAATGATAGATTTTTGCAAGCTTGACCGGGGTTATGTACCACCTGTATATCATTTTCATAATATTCTCTCTTAAGGCATTACATGCCGTAAATTTCATACCTGTGGTCCACAACTGTTCCCAGTCAGCGAACATAATGTTATGTCCGACGTCTTGTGCCCATTTAATCATAGCCGATTTTACCGTTTCATCCTGAGTGTTCCATTTCAGCAGCAAGTTATACATTCTTGATAAATTCTTAGTTTTGGGTTCTAACAGTTCAGTTTCTAATTTTGATTTTTCCACGTGGAAGCCAATTTTCTTGTCCAATTTAAATGCCTCCATTATCTGAAAATAATGAAGCCGGTCTCGCACTTTGTTTTTTAGTTTTTCAAAACTCTGCAATTTCAGTCTATCTCCATCTTGTTCCAAAATTTCCCAATATTTCGGCCATTTGACCTCCATATTGAGCTTTTTCAAGGCTTTCGCTTCCATTGGTGACAGCCACCTTGGGGTTTTATTTTCTAACAAATCCTTATATCTTATCCAAACATTAAACAGCGCTTTCCTGACAATGTGATTTTTAAATGCTTTATGTGCTTTGACCTTATCATACCATAGATATGCATGCCATCCAACGCCGTGGCCCAATTTCTGTTCTCATCCTGAAGCTATTTCTGGGTTAGCGGAGTCTGTAACCTGAAGCGTCTGTAACCCAAGGTACCACTGTAGTTGCTGGGCAGGCCTGTACTGCAACCTTAGCAGAGTGGTTTATAGGCAGCTTTCCATGATTATTCATCTTCTAGCCATTTTGGACTAGAGCTTAAATCAACTGAGCCCTGCCAGCTGGGGCTGATGAGTGTTGTAGTCCAAAGCAGCTGGAGGGCACGAGATTAAGAGCATAGGAAGAGACTGCTGGATCAGGCCAATGACCCATCTGCTCCATCATCCTGTTCTCACAGTGGCCAACCTGATGCAAGCCGGACTCAAATACAAAAGCACTCTACCCACCTTTGGTTTCCACCCACTGGTATTCAGAAGCCTTCCCGCCTTTGACAGCAGGCAGAGCATAGAGGCATTGTGGCTAGTAGCCATCAATGGCTGCCTCTGTGAATTTGTCTCTAATCCTTTTTTTTTTTTTTTTACACATTAAATTGGTGGCCATCACTGTCTTCTGCAGAAGCAATGTTGTGGAATGCTAGTTTAGGTTCTCCTGACAGTGGCCAATGTTCCTCTCCCCTGAAGTGCCCCCAATTTGAGCCTGTTTTTCAAGACTTATCAGTCAAAGGAAATCATTGCTTCTTGGGTATACTTGAATCTGGCCACTTATTTCTGTGTTTTGCCTGTAGCTATATTGAACAAGGGAAATGTGTCACTTTTCTCTCCCACTCTTTACCAAAGGGATACTTGAGTGGCTAACAGGAAGAGAAAATTATAGCTGCAGCTATCAAAACTCAAAATACGTACAAGAGAGTTCTGAAGTCAATACCTTTTTGTTTTCAGTGCATCCTCCCATAGTTTGTAAACATCGTGGTCTCTTCCATCTCATTTTAAAATTGTTCCACATAGGCTTTGTGCCTTCCCCCGCAGATGCCTTCATATCTACACTTCCAAGCAGCAGTAGTTGCTCCACCTCATATGTACATAAGTCAATCTTTATTGATTGACCAACTTACTGTACTTCAGTCACCCTGAAATCCATGAGAAAGAGACTTTAAAACTCCCCTTCTTTCAACGCACTCCTCACACAGCAGAGCCTAACACAATTTTATTTTTACTTACGACATTTCTAGACTGCCCTTCATCTGAGGAACACACAGCGCTTTTGCAATATTAAAACACAAAAATACATAACATGGTAACAAACAGAAACTTTAACACCCCCCCCCCACACACTAGACATCAAGAAAGCCCCACATAAGGTGGGGGGGGCGTCTCTTAATCCTCCACCCCGTTTCCCCCCCCCACACAAAGAAATATGCAGGCTATCCGTGGGTCAAGGGTGAAGAAGCCCCTCTCAGCCTCCCCATCAGCACCACAGCACGCCCCACCTCAGGCCCCCCACGGCCGTCCCGATTTCCGACGGAGGCGAGGCGGAAACGCGGCAGCCACCCCACAATCTTCCCGCCTCTGAGGGGAGTGAATGAGGCGAGGTGGCGGCTGGGAAGGGAAGATGAGGCTGGGCCAGGATGATCGCTCGCTCGCTACCGCTGCCCCCCCCTCGGCCTTTCCCTCCTCTCCAGGCCTGAGACGACCTGAAGCGTCTCCTCCTCTCCCTCGGTCTAGGAAGATGGCCATTGTGGGGAGGGCTCACTCGCCCGGCTACTTGGGCCACCTTTCTCTCCACCATCTTCACCACCACCACCGTTGTTTGTTGCGTCCCAAAAGCAAGGAAGGATTGGACTCTGATTAATAAAAATACACACAAGACTTGACTAGCAAGACTCTGGGAGGAAGTGCCAATAATAATCCTGTCCACCCCTTGGCCCAGGTCGTTTTATTCAAAAAAGAACTTTTTATACAGTGTTCGTAAGAACCAATCAGATATCCTCTGAGCATTTAAAAAAACCCCACGTGGGACAAAGTCAGATCAGAAGAAAGCCTTTTAACTACAAAAGACTACATTGAGCATGCATACATATCTGAGAGTAAATTAAACAGGACTAAAGGAGGAATGCATTCAGCAAACCCCCGGAGGTCATAAACGGGCAGAAAAGGAAGGAAGGATGGCAAGGAAAGGGTATTTACAATCTCCTTGTGAACTCTCTTCCTGGCCCTTAAGATCTACCTAAAGATTAACAAACTACATCAAAGCTACCTTCTATCTTTATGACCCAGGATGCTTGGTGAAGCAACTGGCCTGTGTATTTAGAATGCTTATACGTGCCTGTCAGGCGTAGAGAAAGCAAATGGCAGAGGTGCAGAGGCTTGTGGGATTTGATCAGAAATTATTGTCAATTAATCAAGCCCAGTCAACGCAATGTTTTCATTGCGGACACAATGGCTTGCTCCATATTTCATAATTCCTCATAGCAATCCCACCTGACCCCCACACTCTGGATATTTGCACCCCCACAGTTGTTGTTATTTTCCGTCCTTAACCCTAAGGTCCCTAGTGCAGGTTTCAACATTTAAAATAATTTTTTTTATATCTTTTGTTTTGTTTTATTGTTTGTTTGTTAAATAAAATTGAATGCACCACCTGATTGTGTTGTCGTTTTTTTACACAAAAATAATCCCTCAAAGCGGTTTGCAAAAAGGTGAAATGGCAGAGAATCGAGAAAAACAATCCCTGGCTTCCTGTTTCCGGCGGTGGAAAATGGCGGATCCCACACGATCAGACCTCAGCCGTTCCGATAATTCAGGGCTGATATGGGGGTAATTAGCCCTGGCAGCCTTCCCAGGGCAGGGGAGGACTGTCTCGATGACCCGCGGTTTGCCCCAGATTGCCGATGTGGCAGACGGCAGGGGCACTGGGTCACGGAGCAAGGGACGGACTGACACTCCTGCGACGCCACCCCATAGCCGGACGCATCTGTTTGGGAAAATATAAAGATTTGGAAAACAAACAGACACGCTCTGAACTGACGAAGCTGGGAAAAAACCTGCAGTATGTACAGTCTCTGGTGCAAAAGATTGAACTTCAAAGAGATCCTCATCGTGATGTTTGGAATCTGGAGGGGCTTGGTATGTTTTTTTTCTTCTTCCTCTAACATTAACAATTTGTATTGCATGCCAAGCCTCATTAAGAACCTAAATTGCTCTTCAAAAAGTGAGTACAGATGGACTTTCATATATAATTGGGACCTATTCGCAGCCACTTTTCTTCTAAGATTTGAAATGCCTGTTAAAGACGAAAACAAAGGACAAAATGGCTTCTACCCACCACACACTTATGGAATATCTGAAATACTTCCCTGATTAAGAGAAACAGGAGCTAACTGGTGGTTGGTCATAAAGACTGGAAACAATATTATATATACAACTGTTTGCAAAAAGAAGTTTTTTATTATGAGCGAGAGAGAGGGCTAAATGGATGTCTGGCAGCCCCCCTCTAGGGCCCGGAGGGGGGATTGGGTGGATTCCAAAGGCCAATTGTTAATTGTCTGATATATGGCTACATTGCAAACAGTCTGCTTAAGAATAAAGAAGGAGGTTTCTCTCTGTTTCTTTGATAACACCTGGGCGGGAAAGATCAACGATTTGGGAGCTACCAAAATAACAATTCTCAAAGAGCTGGACAGAACTTTGAAATTGGATGCAATTAAATGAAGCGGTGCGATGAAAAAACAAAAACAGCTGAAAGAGTACAATATACGGACAAATTTGCACTCCATAGAAAAAAAAGTATCTGTTTTCTGACATGAATGAGGATCACAGAACCAGAGTCAAAACGTGGAGGAAAAAATCGGATATGGAATTATGAAAAACATTGAGGATGATGAGAGGCAGGACTATGATGTTGAAAGCGCTTCGGAATTCAGACCATGGGAAGCCAAAACAAAAATTATTACAATTTGGAAGACAATTGGATTTTTTTATTTTAGTTTTTTATTTTTATTGGATTTGATTTGATATGTTAATTGGATGTTTTTATTGGAAAATTAATAAACACTTAAAAAAAAAAATCACAATCCTAGTTAACGCAGACAACAGTGCAACACGTTAAAAACTCCCGCCAACTTTTTAAGAGACTGGGGAAGGTATTGCCTCAACAGGGAGAGGCGCCAAAGAAAAGGGAAGAGTGAAGGTTGCCTGATCTCAAAAGGCAGAAAGTTCCCCAAGTGATGGCGCTGCCCGCCTGAAGCGATCAAGTACTAAGCAAATGTGGGAAATGGGTATGATGTGGCACCTGGAGCACTGCCAGTCAGCTTGGTCAGAGAGCGGCCCTTTTATTGAGACAACCCTCAAACATGGCACAGTGAAGTGTGGGGAATAACCCTATTGGAAGAATACTTGCCTGTTTAAAGAGTAGTAGGAGGACAAAAGGACACATTTTTTTGTCATATGGCAGGATGTCAAATTTCTCGGAACTCCGTTTGACCGAGCTGATAAGGCTCATCTTCAGAATCGCCTCCCGACAGTTAAGTCACGACTTGATCCTTTGATAAGGCCTCAGGCACGTCGTCCCAGCAGAGCATCAAAACAGCATGTGGAAGTGATGAGATTTATGGATACATTGCTATGCTTTATTTTTTAGCTACACAGAGAGCAAAGAAATATACATCCTCTCCCTGTGAGAGCAGAGAGCAACTGAACAAAGGAACAAAGGAAACCGGAAACCAGTAACGTCACATCCGTCTCTAGTCTCCCGTGAGACTTCCAATAGCCTGGACTGTCTCTGGAACGTAAACACAGTCCTGTGACTCCAAGCAGCTGCTCAGTGAGAAACAGAAACTAACAAAATTAAACTAACAGAAACTAACAAAATTCCTCCGACTGCTGCGGAGGAAAATGTCGGTGTGCTAAGTGTCGTCTGTGACACGGAGCCGGCAGAGAGGCTTTGAGGGCAGCGCCAGAGCTCAGCACACCCCCAAAAAACCCTCACAGGAGTGTGGGGACCCAAGGGTTCCTGCAGAGCAAAAATTCTTGCCCCCCTGGAACCCCCCCGGCTGCTGTTTAGCACACGGGAGGAAAGGGGGAGAGGCTTGGGGACGCTCCAGGCAACATCGCAGCCTCCTGCCAAAGCTACGATCCGACACCAGAAGCAGCAGACCTTCCTAATTAGAGGTAAAAGCCAATAAAACAATTTAAAGGCGCAATTAGACAATAAAACTTCAATTTGGCGAAATGGAAACAAAAGAGGAAGTCAGTTTCCGATATTTGCGGACAGGCTCTGCAAGGGAACTTCTTTGTGAATGGGACTCAGACTTTGTTTATTGCTGTGGAGAATTGCTACAGCTAACTTTGACTGGAAGGATGGTTACATTCTAATGGCTTGCAACTTTAATTGTATCCAGTTACCCAATGAGATATAAGTGAAAATCTACACAGCTGGAGGTTTAACCAACTTTATAAAAATTTGGAGGAGCTAAAGAAGAAAGGGGGAAGTAAAGACAGGAAGCCTGCAGGGAACTCTTGCACATTTGGGGGGGGGGGGGCAACCTCCAAAATAAAAGTGGAAAAGAGCCTGGAACAGCTTCCCAAGTATTCTAAAGTACCCCAAAAAGAAAACGGAGAGCTCTCCAAATAAGATTTGTTAATCAAAGCCTCAGCTGCTTGCGAATTGGAACTTTAGTTGCCTGTGAATTTACGATTTGGAAAACAAGACTACGGTCATGGGATTAAAAATAAGAACCAACTAAAAGGACCTACAAGTTCTGGAAATATTGCAAATCACCACCATTTGAGAGGTTATAAGTAGATAAGTATAATTTAAAGAATAATCTCTTCTCTGCTGGTTTTTTTAAAAAAAATTGTTTTGTGCATTCCTTTTGCTCCAAGACAATATCGGAAATTGGAAATTGGACTGACCTAATATATTTTTTAATTGTACCTCCCTTGTTCTTGGAATATTAACTGGTCCCCCCCCCCTTATTTTTAAATATTGTATTGTATATTTATATACTCTATGTTACATGCTTTATTGAAAGTTTCCCCTTTTTTGTTTCTTTTTCTTTTTATATCTTCCTTTGCCTAGGGGATAAAAGTGAATGTGAAAGTGTGACGGGGAGAGAGATAGCTGACAAAAGGGAAAGGGAAACCGGGAGAAAGGTGGGGGGGATAGCTGTACGGCCGAACAGACTCAGAGCTGGCAGGTGTGACCTTGAACAACTCATATAATACTGGGAACCAACAGATAAGAAATGTCGGGGCCAGACAGAATAACAACACGGAAAACAGCAGCTTCGGTTGCTGCAGCAGCTGCAAGACGGGCCAGTGTACAGGGTGATAATGGGGGAAAAGGCGACAAAGAACAGACACACCCTTTTGCACTGCAGCTTTTAGAATTCAGGAAAGAGATGATGAAATCAATGCAAGAATTTACACAACTGGTCCGTAGTGACATAGAAAAATCTAATTTATCATTGAAGGAACAAGTACATAGAGATATTGAGAACTCAAACAAAGTTCTAAAAGAACAGTTTGGGATATTGGGAGACAAGGTTAGTAACTTGGAGACAAAAGTAGATAAATTAGAAAAATTAAGAGAGGAGGTCACAGAAGTAAGGGAGGAACAAAAAGGGATGTTAGGATTGGTACAAGGGGTTCAAGAGAAACAGAGTGATTTAGAAGATCAGGTTTTACTTCTGCAATTACGAGAACGGGACAGGACGATCAGACTCTGACTCTGAGCCAGTCCTAGAGACATATGTGACACAGATAATTTCAGAGTGGATTAACATGAATTCTGGAATGGAAACAAGAGTTATTTGGGACACAAGTAAGGCAGTGATGAGAGGATTTCTCATTCAACAAAATTCATTTAAGAGGAAAATACAGAATGAAAAGAAAGATAAAATTTTGGACCAATTAAAAGACAAGGAGAAGAATTTGAGAAGTAATCCAAAGAATTTGCAGATACAAAAGGAAATTAAAGCTTTACGGATTCAGTATTCACAGATTATAAATCAAGAAATAGAATGGAAATTAAGAATGATGAGACAGAGGAATTTTGAATTTGCAAATAAATGTGGGAAACTCCTAGCTTGGCAGTTAAAAAAGAGGCAGAAACAAAGTACTATCACAAATATTGTATCAGAAGGAAAGTCTGTAGAGAACCCTATGGAGATAAGAAGATGTTTCCAGAAGTACTATAAACAACTGTACAAAAATCGTAAAGACAAGGATAAAATTGAGCAATTTATTAAAACTAACGGTTTGCAGGAAATTCCCGAAGGTAAAAGGATCCTACTAAATGGTTTAATTACGACAGGAGGTTGATAATGCAATAAATTCAATGCAACTTGGCAAAGCCCTGGGACCAGATGGATTATCAGCAAAATACTAAAAGACACTGAAGGACTGGCTTATTTAGCCACTGCTAGAAGATTGCAACAAGATCATAGGAGGGGGTAGAGCACCTGAAACCTGGAAGGAAGCTTACATTACTCTGATTCCAAAACAAGACCAAGATGGATCCAATGTAAAAAATTATAGACCAATCTCATTACTCAATGTGGATTACAAAATATTTTGGCCAATAGATTGAAGAAAGTGTCTGATTATATTCATAAGGACCAGGCAGGATTTCTGCCTGGGAGACATATGAAATATAATATTAGGAATATAATCGTCATTTTGGAAAGGTTCGAAGCAAAAAAAAATTGTAAAGCAATGTTAATGTTTATTGATGCGGAGACGGCCTTTGATGATGTGTCTTGGGGATTCATGATACAAAACTTAGAAAGTATTGGGGTTGGACAGGAGTTTTAAAATGGTATTAATGTGATCTATCATGAACAAAAAGAAAAAAATATAATTAATAATGTGGTGTCAGAGGAAATTAGAATTGAGAAGGGTACCAGGCAAGGGTGCCCACTTTCCCCTCTGCTTTTTATATCAGCTCTGGAGGTTTTGTTAAGTATGATAAGGAAGGATGAACAAGTTAAAGGTATAACAGTAGGATCCAAACAATATAAATTAAAAGCTTTTGCTGATGACTTGGTGTTAACACTCCAAGACCCAGACTCCAGTGCAGTAAAAGCACTGGAGTTGATACAGGAGTTCAGACAGGTAGCAGGATTTAAGTTAAACAAGAGCAAAACCAATGTATTGGAGAAAGATTTGGATGAGGAGAGGAAAATATTTCAAGAAAAAACAGGCCTAGTGTTAATGAAAAAAGTTAAGCACCTGGGTGTAAATTTGTCGGTGAAAAATTTGAATTTATATAAAGAAAACTATGAGAAACTATGGAATGAAATTAAGAGAGATCTTGAAAAATGGTCATATCTAAAATTGTCACTAATGGGCCGGATATCTGTGGTTAAGATGAGTGTATTGCCAAAGATGTTGTTTCTGTTCCAAGCCCTCCCAATTATTATTGATAATGTGAAATGTTTTAAAGAATGGCAGAAAGCTTTATCTAAATTTATCTGGCAGGGGAAACCCCCAGAATTAAATATAAATTATTAACAGATTCAAGAGAAAGAGGGGGATTTTCCCTGCCAGATTTGAAGATATATTTTGAAGCCGCAGCCCTTTGTTGGTTTAAGGAACGGATTCAATTAGATAATGATGATATTCTTGATTTGGATGGATTTGACAATGTATTTGGTTGGCATGCTTATTTATGGTATGACAAGATAAAGGCACATAATGGTTTTTAAAATCATGTAATCAGAAAATCTTTATATAATGTTTGGGTAAAATACAAAGATCTCTTAGAAAGGAAAACACCCAGGTGGCTCTCGCCAATGGAGGCAAAGGCCCAGAAAAAGTTAAATATGGAGAGTAAATGGTTGAGATATTCTGATTTATTGCTGGAAGATAAAGAAGGATTTAAATTAAGACCATTTGATCAAATCAAAGAAAAATTAAACTGGCTACATTACCACCAGATTAATGAATTGTATAAGTTAGATAAGAAAAATGGTTTTGCATCGGAAAAAACCAAATTGGAAACAGAGTTGTTAGATACTAATGTTAAAAACCTATCTAAAATGTAAAATTTATTATTGGAGTGGCATACAAAGGATGAACAAGTTAAATCTGTGATGATAGATTGGGCAAGAGATGTTGGACACAATATAATGTTTGAAGATTGGGAAAGGTTGTGGAAGAAAGGGGTCAAGTTTACTGCATGTACGGTGTTAAAGGAAAACGTTATGAAAATGATGTATAGATGGTACTTAACCCCTGTAAAACTAGCAAAGATTTACCACAAGAGTGATCTATGTTGGAAATGTAAAGAAAAAGAAGGTACCTTTTACCATATGTGGTGGACGTGTCCCAAGGTGAAAGACTTCTGGGAAAAGATTTATAATGAATTGGAAAAAATGTTGAAATATACATTTATCAAGAAACCAGAAGCCTTTCTACTTGGGATAATAGGTTTGGAATTGCCCAAGAAAGATGTTAGATTTTTTTTTCTATGCCACAACTGCAGCTAGAATTTTGCTGGCCAAAAATTGGAAACTACAAGAAGTACCAACAGTGGAGGAATGGCAGGTGAAGATGATGGACTTTTTGGAGCTAGCCGACCTGACCGTAAGTGTCTGCGACCAGAAGGAAAAGGATTATCAAGAGGAATGGAAGCAATTTAAAGATTATTTAGTTAAATAAATTAAGATTACTTAAATAGAATAACTTGTGAGTAACAGATTGGCCTAGGATTTAAATATGTGATATTGTAGAATACTATGGATAGAAGTCAAAATGAATAGAAAGAAAGATGTAAATTGACTAAGTAAATTTTATATGAAAATAGTGTTGGAAAACTGCTACAATGAACTATATGGAAACTCAGCTAGGGGGATTTGAGGACGTCACCCAACAATGATAACAAAAGTGGGATTATAACAGTTAGAATAAATGTTTGTTTGTTTGTTTTTTGATATTATTATGTTTTTCTTGTTTGTTGCTATGTTTATTATAAATTTGGAAAACCAATAAAAATTTTTGAAAAAAAAGTAAAAAACAAAGGCAACCTCTCAATAAATTTGTTTTATTATTCTCTATTGTGTTTCTCTCATATTGTAAGTTTTATCATTAAGATGGTTTTCCTTAAGTTATAGTGGGGGGGTCTTCATTTTTCCATTTTTGTGGAAATCAATGTGCTGATGTTTTAGAGCCACATGTCCCACTTGTTTCAATGGGTCTTGTTTATTTTGGACAGTTTCGGCATCTCGGCTTCTTTAGCCCATCCGCAAAATGTTTCAGGAGGAGTCCATTCCCCGTTAATTTCAACTAATGTTGCAGACAATTTAATTTCATTGATTGCATTTATACTCCCCCCCCTTTCTCCAAGGAGCTCAAGGTAGTGTACATGGTTTTCCCCTTCTTCATTTAATCCCCATGCAGCAACCCTGTGAGATAAATTAGGCTGAAAGGCAGTGACTGTGACCCCAGTGTGAGCTTTATGACTGAGTGGGGATTTGAACCCTGGTCCGGGTTTAGTCTGACACTCTAACCACACTGGCACTATGTAAATATGGTGAATAGGTAAATATTTACATTGTTGTGTGTGATGCAAATCAGATCAAAAGTGGATCAGGACAATGCCTTCTTTGCATGAGCAAATGCACATATTTATTTCCATATTGTACTTACTGTGTTCACCTGAATTGCTCACAGTGGCTTACTTGTGGCTTCTATAATTGTATTGCATTTATATCCCACCTTTTCTCCAAGGAGCGAAGGGTGGCATTACATGGCTTTCCTTTTCTTCCTTTAATCACCACACAACCACCCTGTGAGGTAGATTAGCTGAGAGGCAGTGACTGTGACATCCACTGTGGGGATTTCAACCCTGGTCTCCCAGGTCCTAGCCCAACACTCTACCCACTATACCACACAAATCCTAAAAATTTAGAGGAGCCGTGGGGGCACGGGGAGAGCAATCCTATGAACCAAAGCCATAAAAAACATGTTACAAGGTGGAGCTACTTTCACACTTAACTAGAACATGCATGCAAAAAGCCTCCTAAATCTATTGTGTGAGGAAGCAGTCCCATGGGAACATTCTTTGGATGGGAAGAATTCAGGAATTCAGGCAGCAGAACTGTCGAAACTAAACAAGGCAAGTGTGAGTGCTTAGTAGATTTGTAGCAGTGGTGGTTGTAGGTGCTTTAAAATACACATGCAAAAGGAGAAACCCATTCCCTACCCACCCACAACAGGCATGGGGTAGAAATACGGTGATGTACAGGTTCTGCAAGGAGCACAGGTAAAGACCAATCAGCCTTTGCAAACCTGGTGCCCTCTAAGCACATTTTGGACTACAACTCCCAGGTTGGCAAAGGTTGCATTAAATACACCAGTTCACTGAAGGGAAGTTTTCTTTTCTGCAGTTCTCTTACTGCACATAACTGTGGCATTTTGGGAAAGTCTTGCTTTTAGCACTATTGCTTCTTTTCTTGCATTCTGGGAAGTCTCACTCATAATCTTTTCTCTGCTTCTGCACAAGAGTCTGAGAATGTTCTGAACAGTTCCCATTGAGTTCATGAAACAGTGTATCCTGACCTGTTCTTAATGCATTGCTGACCACATCTACAGAACGTGATTGTTGTATTCCTTCATGTTATGTTCTCTCAATATCAATCTTTAGTTATAATTTAATTAGGAGGTTTCATGCCTGTCTAGTTCCAGCTCCGTTTCCCAGTCTTTGAACTATCAGTGATTAATGTAA